GGTTTTGGAGTTGAATGCCTGAGTTTGTAGCCCTGCTAAGGATGAGGTACTCAACCTCTTCACTTAGTTTCCTAACATGTAAAATTGGGAAAAAGTGATTTCTCATGGTTCCCCTGAGGGTGAAACGACATAATGTAGGTGATGGCACTTTGTAAACTGTAAAGTAGTCTGAATATTTAAGTCAAAATAAATGTCACTGAATTTATTGAGACCTCTAGTGGTAATTTCTCTTGAAGTTTCTACAAAAATTTATGAAGAAAAAAGTAATTCTTAGACATTGCTAGACACTTCTGATATTTGGAGTTTTCTATTTTATGTAAATGGAATGTGCAGAAATTAAAAATAACATTATTTTTATATTAAGAGAAAATTATTTTAACTGAGGCTAAGAAATGATCAGATAGGAGCATATCCTGTTCTGTGCTGGCATCTGCTGGTGAGGTGTGATATAGCAGTGACATTTCAATATACAGCAAGTTCCTAGTGCTCTGCTTTCTCCCATTAAGACATAAAGTCACCTTGGTTGTCTTCCCCTTCAGTTCATGTCAAAGGGACCTGATACTGTTAGGAGATTACAGTAAGCCAGTATGTGTGTGGTTACTTAATGTATTTGCGTCAGTAGAAGTGGAGTGTCTGAGAGTGGGGTTCTCAAACTCTGGCCTACACTAGAGTTGCCTGGGAAGCTTGTTAAAATGCAGATTTCCAGGCCCGCCCCAGAGTGAACAAGTCCTGGGAATTAGCATGTTTGACATTTCCCCCAGCTAATTCTAGGATTCTTGGTCCCAGGACTACAGTTTGAGAAATACATGGTGAGTCACATAAGGGTCTGACTTCAGAGTGCCTTTTCTTCCCATTGAACCTCCTTTTCTTCTGAGACTCTTGCTAGAAATTAGGTGGCCACGTGTCTGCTTAGGTGTGGACTCGGAATTCCTGCACTGGGTAAGAGATTGGACCAAGGGAACCTGAAAGTCCCTGCCAACTGTAAGGTTTTATGTTTCCCCAGCTGGCTTGTTTCTTCCTTGTTTATCTACATTACATTATCCTTTTTCCCTCAAGATACCCCATACTCTGTCCCCCATGTTGCCAGAAAATTTCAGCGCTGTTTTCCATTCCTTGATTGTAGGTTAGATGCTAAAAACTGCAAACGCATCAATCTGGGAGGAAGCCAAGCAGCTGGCTACCTCCAGCGTCTCCTGCAGCTGAAGTATCCTGGGCACCTGGCAGCCATCACTCTCAGCCGCATGGAGGAGATCCTGCACGAGCACAGCTACATAGCTGAGGATTACGTGGAAGGTAACGGAGAGGACGCTTGCCTGCAGCTTTTGGATGTTTACCTTTGGGGTGTTCCTTAAATTGTTCCCAGGGTGACTCTTTCGCTCACTTTTTTACTCTTAATTACTTTTTAGCATCCCCTTCCCCTTTTGATATTTACTTTTTTTTTTTTT